ACGCTAACTTTATCGGTAATACAGGCGGCTTCAGCTTATAATGATATATCTGGAAATTATATATAAAAGATTAATAAGATGATTGTGTATGTCAAAATTTTCCGAGCAAGGAAATACAACGATTCAGATTAATTTTATTCTCTATCACTATCAAAATGTTTACATTTAAGGAGTTCGTACATTTTGTTTGTCTATGTGTTGCAACAAATGTGACAATACATCTTTTCTAATGATAGCATGCGCTAGTCTAGGATTATGATTCGCTAGTTTGCCTATAGCAATTGCTGCCAGATGTTGGATGGATGGTATAGTATCAACTAATAAAGGACGTAAGAGATCAATGACACCTGCTGCTTCCAGACAATCGACGTTGCTTGACTTTGAAGCTAAATCTGCAATGGATTGCACAAAGAGCAATCGCGCCTTCTGATACTGATCGAAAACTACAAATGGAAAAAAAAGAAAAATGTTAATAATATAAAAATTATATATAGTTATATATATTTAATATAATTTTTATATAAATATTTATTATAATTTTTCACATACAGAGAAACAAAATATTTGTCTATACTTAAAGATATATTGTTCAGACATTTGATTAAATAAAAAGTAACAATAAGTATATGCGTGTACCTTGCAAGATTGAGCGAGCTGTCATATTAATTTACTAAGAAATATCAAATGTATTATGCATCATTATCATATGATTTATGATTCTATCATGGAACGACTTTTGACAGCTTTGACTCGTCACCTGTTTAAATAGCTGCGTTCAGCTATTTACATGCTCAACATGCAGTTGAATGAGCACTCGTTGTTATTAGTGTATTTCTTAGATCATCCAATCAGCATTTTAGATCTGGAAGAATACAATAGCAGCAAGCGCTCACCCAACTATTGTCTACTGAATGTAGCCATTGTGTTTCCAACTTCATATATGTACACATTATTTTAGCACTGGCAGTAAATGTTGGTACTAACAAAAATCCTTAAGCAACACAATTTTAATTTGTACGAATTAGTAACTATTGAAGTAATAAGTTCATCCATAAATCCACCACAAACTTATGGACTTACTACAATACTTTAACAGTGGCCTAGTTTCCACCGAGGGTTTAAACCGAATCAGAATGTAAGAACCAACCGACAACGATCGAATATTCCCCTATACGATCGAATGATAGGGGAATGTTCGACTGTAGTTGGTTGGTTCTTACATTCTGATCCGGTTTAAATGATCCGGTGGAAACTAGGCCAGTGTCAAGGTGCAATTACATATACTAGTTAGTTTCTGTACCGCGTACCGCGCTACACGTAATCGCACCCTTACTAATCCGTACAAATTAAAATCGTGTCTAGAAATTTTTGTAAGTACCAACATTTTTCATTTTTTTTTTAGTTTTTTTAGTTTTTTTAGGGGAAATGTCATGTAACCGAACAGAATGATTGCGTTCAGCAAAACGTTTATTTTGCAACTGTTGGAAGTTTTCTTCGCACTGATTGGGTTATGCTTTTAGATCAAGAGGAATAGTCCTAACAGGAGAGAATTATATTGTAAAATGGTTGCAAAACTGTCGTGTTTTGCTAAACGCAACCCAGTCAACTTATGTGTATGGTGGAATGGAGCGTTTATACTAGCTATAACCATATTGGACCTTCTACAATAAGCTATTAGTCATAAATCAGAAGTCAGAAGCTAAAAATTGACGATTGTTATTGATTAATTTTTAGCTTCTGACTTCTGATTTATAACTAATAGCTTATTGTAGAAAGCCCATATGTCGTAATATCTGTAATAGAATTGACCATAATCACAGTCGAATATTCCCCTCTTATAAAGTCCAGTTTCACGATTAACTCTTAGGGATTAACTCTAATTGGTTGTTTCAATGACACATTCTCTATTCCTTAGTCCTTTTTCGCATCATGTGATTTCACCCTAAGAGTTAATCATGATTTGTGAAACTGGGCCTTATAAGAGGGAAATATTCGACTGTGATTATGGTCAATATTATTACAGACATACTCATGAGCTTTCTACAATAAGCTATTAGTTATAAATCAAAAGTCAGAAGCTAAAAATTAATCAATAACAATTGTCAATTTTTAGCTATATTCTATTGTATTACGCTGATTCTACAATGAGTCGATAGACCTAAGTCTTATCGGTGAAATTGACCAATAATCAACTTGTATGACTAAGACTGATTAGCCAACTTCATCGATTAAGATTAAAACTTCCAACTACCGACTCATTGCAAAATCAGCATTAACCGAGGTTCAACTTATTCATTGTCTCTTTCCAATTCTAAAATTGAAAAAAGGATGAGAAACTAGTTAAATCTCGGTTAAGAGTTAATCGTGAGTTGTGGAACTCTTATTCGACTAATGCCCATTTCCACCAATGTAAATTAACTTTAATTTCGGTTCAACTTATTCTTCGTCTTTTTTTAATTTTCAGAACTAGAAAAAGACGAAGAGTAAAGGCTTAAACACAATAGGCACAGGGAACAGGGAATAATAAGCTGTCTAATCAGAGCTCTGAGATATAATATCGAACTTACACACCAGAGCTCTGATTGGACGGCTCGTTATTTACTGTTGCCTGTGCTTATTGCCTGTGCTTATTGTGTTTAAGCTTTAAGTTGAACCAAGTTTAAGTTAATCTACATTGGTGGAAACACTGGAAACAGGCATAAGAGAGGGAATACTCGACTGTGATTATGGGTCGATATCACCAACTCCGATTAACTTAGGGTCAGTTTATAATAGAGTCTATCGTTAACTTGGGTCGGTAAAAGTTGAAAGATAAGAAACTCATACTACCATTTATGATAGCTGGCAAAAATCTGTTGATTTTGATCATAACCGAAAAATTGATTCAACTTTATTTTTACAGGCCTACGGTAACAGAAAGATACGGAAAAAGTATAAAAAAATGAAAAAGTGTAAAACTCTAGTACCAAACGGATTCAAATGTAAAAAGAATTTTTCTTTTAATCTGTTAGAGGAAGATTTAAAATCAGAAGAAATGAAAATAAACGATGCTGATTTGATTTTCTGGGTCGAACAATTTCGGCCCTTACACGATAAAAATTTCCTTTTTCTTTTTTTTGTTATTTATTGGATGTACACTTTGATGGCGTTTTTTTCTGATTTTTTTATTTAACAGTGTCTGCATATGTAGTATGCAGCACATGCTAGCCCCAGAATTGACAGGAACATTCTACACACTATCGACCGACACGCCGTATCGGTCAAATATTTTTTATTAAATTTAAAATTTATTTATATTGTTAACGACTTTCAGGTTATGACTATATCGCGGCCATAACTGCGAAGTACCGGCTATTATAAACCGTTCTTTAAATTGCAGTAACGGCCACTACAGTTATGGAAAACGAATTACGGTTACGGCCCATTATAAATCAGCCCCAATCTATTGATTTTTATGGCCGTAGCACAGACTCTTGTATAACGCATAATATATAAGTGTAAGAGAATCAATCAATTGAAATTCTTCTTTTCCATGGAATGGAAGGAGAGGAAAGATTCTGATTAGTTGATTCGCTTACCCCGGATCTACAATAGAGATTTTTAAGCCTTAAATCATAAGAAATGAACAAATCATTGTCAATTATTCTCTTCGCATTCGACTGTAATTGCTCAATATCTCATGACTTAAGGCTTATGAAACATTAATAGCTTATAATTGTATTTCCGGACTTATGCACTGTGCATTATACGTTATGTAAAAGTCTGTGCTGCGACCTTTACATTGGAACTGACCAATTGTATTTGCTATTCAGCAAAATTGACCAATCACGATTGATCACACTTAATCGACTGATTAGGTGAATCGGAGTGGTGGATACCCAAAGATATAGAGAATGGACTGCTCGATCATATCTAAGTAGTACGGTCGACAAAAATGAACGAGAGGAAGGAATGAGAGGTGGAAGACGGCTAATCTCTCTCTCATTCTCTCTTTCTTATTATATCATTAAGTGAAAAGAGATAAAGATCGTCCTTCACAATCTTTGGTGAAACCGGCCCTAATTAGTTCTTAGGGGTTCCGCACAATAAAAGGAACAGGAAACAGAGAACAAAAAATAAGAATTTCAACCTATCAAAATTTATGCAATGTGGAATACACAGTTTCTGATTATTCTCTGTTTTCTGTTTTTTTTATACTGTGAAGCCCTTAACAGATTACGGCATACGGCATACAATTAGGCCGGAATCAGACTATGCATTAAAGATTGAGATTGAAGATTAAAGATTGAAATTTCATCAAAAAGGACAAAGAAATTCTGGCTCTTTTTGTTTTGATTGGTCAAACTTCAATCTTTCAATTTTCAATCTCACTCTTCAATGCGTAGTCTGATTCCGGCCTGACGACCAGTATAATGACCTCTTTCACTAACACCGATTAACACTAATCGATGGTTAACTCAATCACCATGATTGCCAACGTGAAAATTAAACACAGAAAAGAAAGAGAGAGAAGACATAATGATATCTTAAATTGCTGTTGGCACTTCTGCAAGTTAAATTAATCGTCGATTAATTTAATCAAAAGTTAGTAAAAGAGGCCCTCAACGCTCCCGAAGAAGTGTGTCCCTACAAATTGGGTATTGAAAAGAGAAGAAAGCAAAGATGTTGAGAGCAAAAAGTGCAACTCATATTATCTTTCAAGTGAGGTATGCGATTGGTTGATTCCTCTTGTTTTCAAATCGTTGCATGTACAAATCCATTTGAAAAGACCTTAAAATATAACTAGATTCGACCAATCAGAATAAAGAGATGTTTATTACTCTTATCTGAAATGGTCGAATCCCATTCAATCTTAACGTAATTTCAATTGTCAATGTAGATACGAGCCTTTTAAATTATTGAAAATTATTTTCTTGAACTATGTGATTATAGCTTGGATTAACAATTGATTAATGCAATACATCAAATTTTGATCATCGATGTATTTAGTTTTTTTTTTGTTTCATCGTATCAAATCTCGAGTTATATATAGGTAAAGTTCTAGATGTTGCTTTGCGCATCGCAATGATTGTGTATGCAATGTCTTTCGCCGTTCGCATCACAGACTCTTCAAGACTCTCGTGTCACGGTTGCGTGAGGTGAGAATTGTAAATATTGGCAATAAACACTATTTGATTCAGTCTAAGGAATATAGTCTCTCGTCCGTGTGTTTAAGGTTCAGCGTAGCAATATATTGTACTATACAATACTACTAACACGCCGAAGTTAAGCACGTCGAGAGCTGTCGAGAGCGTGCAATTGGTGTCTGCTGACAGTGCTGACTGCTTAGTGCTTGTGTTTGTGTTTCGCCGTCGCGCCGTTTGCGCCGTTCGCAGATCGGAGTACGTGTATGTATGTTCATATGTACACACGTCGCGCGTCGCTCCTTTCCACGAAGCGTGTGCGATATAAAAACGAACCATGCATGGCCGTAGTGATGCACTATCGGAATAGCAATCAACTGCGCAATGGGCGATAGGTGTGGCATGTGAAAAAGGAAAGGAAAGCTCGTCAGCGAGTTGTCGCGAGTGATCAGAGAGAACGAGAGAGAGAGAGAGAGAGAGAGAGAGAGAGGGAGGGGCGAGTGCATTCCAGAAGTACCTATGAAGAGATTTCATGAGACATGCGACATTATTTCGTTTCCTCAGCGCAAATCATCATTCTGAGGAAGATCTCGCGTTTTAACGCACACATACACACACGTAAATGATCTCGTAATCTCTGACGTCTTTTACGCGTACTGCTCGTACAGTCGAGAGTGATCGAGACCGAAAAGCGTGCTCTGCGTGCCGTGCGTGCCGTGCCTGCGCCTATGCGTTTCCATTCGTCGCGCGCTCATCTACGTAGTAGAGGCAGTGGAAGGGAGAACAGCGGTGCCGGTAGCGCTGGTTTTTGAGGAGGGACGTAAGGAGGCTTTATGCGAGAGAGTGAGGTTAGCTTGTATGTGCGCTCGCGCTTTCTCTCTCTCGCTCGCGCGCGTCAAATCTTGGCTCACTCTCATCCCAGATCCCTATCTCGCGCGCGCGCGGGACTCGCGCTCCTTTTTGTCTCTGTCTCTCTCCCTCTCTCTCTGTCTCTCTCTCTCTCTCTCGTGTGCGCGCTTGTTCGCTCGTTTGTGCTTCCTCGCTCGCTCGCCCGCCCGCCCGCCTATCGGCTGGCGCGTGCGCGCGCGCATTAACGGAATTTGCGATCGAGCACGCAGGGACCACCGACTAATGTTTAAATGGACGCATCGTCCATTATCACCCAAGTGTCGCGGGATGACGAGTTAGGCGCGTTCAACAGCGAGAAAGGTGCGTATCGCGTAAATATACCCGCGCCATCCCATCCTCCCTCCATCCCCGCGGCTGCAACGCACTCGGCCAGATGCTGCCGAGATTTTATTCCCCTGCACCTGTTACGGAACTCCGCATTTCTCTTCTTGCTTTACGTTGCCTAACTTCAGTCTCCGTCTTGCCTCCCATCTCATCCGCGACAACTTCTCGCGTGTCGTTCCCCCTTCTTTCTGCTCCTCGAATGTTGATATTGTCATCCCTTGTCATTTTGTCATTTTACATCACGCCTCCATCGAGCAATATCACGAATTTCCTTATTTTCTTACGCTTTGTCGTGCCCTTTAACCTTTCACATGCCTTTCATGAGAGCAAGCTAATGGCAAGCCGTAAAGACAGCGATAAAAAAAACTCGCTGTAAAAGATTAAATACAGCACGTTGATCGCTTCCATGATTGTACATACATGCATACATGCATATATGTGCACAAGATGCAATTGCTTATTTTGACCAATTTGACAAGTAGTACACACATTAAATTTGATTTGACAATATCAATTTAGATCAGACATGATCTATATGCTTTTTTATTTATAAAATTGAAGAAAATATATGTGTGCGTGCGTGCGTGTGCGTGTGTGTACAGAAAAAGAGAGACGTTGTCATCTTTTTAACCAGTTAGGCAACCCAGTTCCATAATTCATGATTAACCTCTTAACTGAGGTTCAATTCTAAAATTGGAAAGAGACAATGAATAAGTTGAACCTCGGTTATGAGTTAACCATCACTTGTGGAACTGAGCCTTAGTCTAAAAATTTAGCATTTTTACTTAGATCACAATTTTCATCCCAGTATGTATTGCATGTGTATGTACATACAACAAGTGTGAGAGATAGCAGTTAAAATTTATTCAGAATATACATACAACTTGAAGAAATAATAAATAATTTACATTGCAAACTTAAATACTTACATGTTTTTCAAATGGAATTCTTGCAATAATCAAATGACTTTATCAAATGACACATTGATAATTATTTGTCATCTCTTTTTTCTCTATACTACAGCCCAGTTACCTCGAGAAAATGAAGCAGCCAACAATACTTTGTCGAATAATAAGAAGCCAAGGGGACGTGGGCTCTTACGCTCACTGTTTTGTTGCTTTGGAAGAGGCCGTAGTGGTAGTTCAAAGAGCTCCAAGGCGAGTTCTTTACAGGGTGAGGGACGTGGGTCGCCACCACCTGGTACCGGATCTCCGAGATTTCTCCTACCACCAGTTAGGCACCAAGACATGCACAAAAAGTGCATGGTAATCGATTTGGACGAGACCCTGGTGCATAGTTCTTTCAAACCTATCAACAATGCGGACTTTGTTGTTCCTGTAGAAATTGACGGTACGGTACATCAAGTGTACGTCTTAAAGAGGCCTTATGTGGACGAGTTTTTGCAGAGAATGGGTGAATTATATGAATGTGTATTATTCACTGCAAGCTTAGCTAAGGTAGGTTTATAATAATAAACAAATAATTATCTCTTGTGAAATGAACAAAATTTTAGTTACAATATATAATAGTAATTCAAAATGCTTTTACAATAATTTTGATTTAATATTTATATAGAATTTAGTTTACTATAAATTTATATATTACTTAAAATATTTATATAGCCAACTGATTTTAAGAATTTATAGATATTGTCAAAATAAAATGTATTATATAGAACTGATTTATAATCTATAGACTTGAAAAAATTAAGAAAATAAAATTGTATCAAATATTATTTTATATATTTGTAGTACGCCGATCCAGTAGCAGATCTGTTAGATCGGTGGGGGGTATTCAGAGCAAGGTTATTCAGAGAGTCCTGTGTGTTCCATAGAGGAAATTATGTTAAGGATTTGAACAAATTAGGACGGGATTTGCAGCAAATCATTATTGTAGATAATAGTCCTGCCAGTTACATTTTCCATCCAGATAATGCGGTAAGTTATATATTTATAATGATATTAAAAGACTAATTTATTTTAAAGGCATTAAATGAATTTTGAATGATTAACACGTTAAACACCGGTCTTAAAAACTTTTTAAAATATTTGATTGACAGAGAACTGCTTTAGAGAACAAAACTGTACTGTGCTTTTGTATGACCGACGGACGATTAACGTTCCGATAACATTTTGCCTTCTCTTTTGTCTTTTTTTTTTTTATTACTTTAGTTCACGCTCCGCGCGAATCTCTCTAGTTGACGGTGTATGAATTCGTGCGACGTAAACGAAAAGTTAAACGAAATAGGCTCGACGCCAAGACAACTAACGAACCGTCAATTACACGAAAGATACGATACAATTTTGTTCTCTAAAGCAGATTTATCAAATACTTTGAAAAGTTTCTGGGATTAGCGTGGCATAAATGGAAAGGTGTCGGTCCATAGGGACCAGTATGGCGTTTAATAATAAAGATGATATTTGTTCATAGGTTCCAGTAGCATCTTGGTTCGATGACATGACGGACTCCGAGCTACTGGATTTAATCCCCTTTTTCGAAAAGCTCAGCAATGTGGAAAACATCTACACGGTGCTGTGTAATAGCAATCATCCTTACAATCAGATACCGGCGCACGCGGTGCAGAGCAATCAGAGCCTGCCGACTTCAATTTCAATGGCTGCTTCCTAGCCCCACCTGAATCCTGGCAATACAGCCAGTCTTGTTGCTCAATGCACCTTGCGGAGGATTCTGAGGGGACTGCTTCATGTGACCCACTTACTATGTGGCGAAGGACCTCGAAATACCCCTCCTCGTTGATATTTGGGAAAACCGCTCTGATCAGCAGCCAAATGTCTTATATCTTGAAAAGTGCATCATTTAAGTCACAGCTGCTGATATCCTTCTTCCTGGTGAGCAATGTAACGAAGACTGAATCAGCTTCGAAGCGCGAGTGTTCTTCCATTTTGCACCAATCATAAAAAAAATGACCAACTATATCGATCCTGTCTGCATTGGTAGATTGAAAATACTGTCTGTACTCGACAAAGAACATAGCGAAGGATGAAACCAGGAATCTCCGTCAAGCAGAAAAGTTAATCGATCGCTAAAAGAAAGAAAGCGATGGTTAGGGTGACTGCCTATGGTGATTGTATACTGGAAAAATGTTAAGCGTTAAAACAAAAAAGAAAGAAAGAATAAAAGTATGAAGAGAAAAAAGAAGAGAAATCGCTCCGAGTCGTTTGATGGGCCATGCTGTGCATTGTTGCCGTAGTTTTCAAGTCAAGATACTACATACTTTGTTTACTTAGATTCGATTATAGAGAAGACATCAATGCTCCAATTACGTTTATGAATACTTCTGACCCAACTTACAGAACATTGAAAAAAAGGAGGGTAACAGTGGCAGGTAGAATTTGAAATATATTTTATTTGTTAAAAATTTAAGATAGAAAAATTTTATTTTAATTGTGTTATTTTAATTATTTAAAATAATGTTGTAAAAAATCTAAGGCTTATTTTAGAATTTAATATTAAAATATAGCTTTTAAAATGCGTGGACATATAAAAAGATTAAAACAAGATTCACACATACTATAATAATATCTAAGCTTTATAAGAAAAATAAAATGTAAAATATAATCCAGAATTCTAAAATTTTGAAAATACAGAAAAGAAATTAGAAATTAGAAATTTTTTAAAAGAAATTAAAAGTTTTATTCTTTTAAATGTTTAATCTTTCAAAAAACTTAAATATGCAAGCTTGATCTCAATAAAGTCCAAAAACTTTTAAAAATATTTTGAGTAGGGATGCACCGGATCGTAAAGTCATTGGATACCGGATATCGGATATCCGGCATCATATTTGTTTAGATATCCGGTCGAATATCAAGTAAGGCAGTTATCCGGCCATTGGATATTTCTTCGGATATCCTGCCAGATATCTGGAAAATGGCTTCCAAAAAAAGAGCAGTAAGAGAAAAATAGCGTAAGAAGTGACGAAATAGCGATAATTGCGGAAACATAGCGATAATAATTTCCTGTATTTTCTCAACATGAAAAGAAAGATAGGAAAGAGAGATGAACTGCGCAAGAAATTTAGCTAAAAAGAATAAAATTCTGCATTTATGACGCAAACTGTCAATATAAAATTTCAAATAGATATCTGGAAACATGGTAGTGTCTCGGCGCTAAGACATGGTATATATTGTCGGATACTAATAATATTCGGCTGTCTAGCCGGATAATTAAAAAGTGCCGGATAATGCCGAATACCGAATATTTCCCGGATATTTGGTCTGATGCAT